TCAGAGGCAGAATTTTAACACAAATCTGGTTCTAAATCCAGCATTACAAATGTTCCAGGCTGCTGGCTGAGAATGCTTTATTTGATCACCAAAGTACCTGATCCAGTGCCTGACACAATAAATATTTGCTACTGAATTAATGAGGGTTATATCATTCCTATCTAACAAAAATTTAAATGATATTTTGTGGTACCTTCTGGCTCTAACGTATGTGATTCTATAATGACACTTTAAAAGAGATTAAAAGTTTAAAAGTAGCTTTGGAAAACAAATAAAACAAAAGCTATCCAATTCATGCTTTCCTTAAAAAACTGGATAAAAACTGCTTAAATAAAAAGTGGTACCTGAAAAGCTCTCGGATCCAAATACAAAGAGATAGGTAGAAAACAATAGAATGACTAATGTATCTACTTCAGAGAAGACTGAAAGAATCCAGACTCACATAAGTCTCAAAGCACAAATGAAAACAATGCACTGTCAAAATTACAGTAGTTTCTATGCAAACCAAAACCTGCACACTGTATATTTATAACCTCAAGGGAAAAGAATATCTACTCAAACTTTGTAAAAGTACAATGTAACAAGTTCAAACATATTCTGGTACTCAATATGAAATTATGAAAACCAAGATAATCAATTATATCTCATTACTTAACTAACTAAAGTACAGTAATAATGTAATAATGTAAAGAATCCTAGCAAAAAACAAAACAACCAACACCACACACAACCATTTAACACATTTGCCAAACAGAATGAAGTCAATAAACAAATATTTATTGATCACTGGTTTGCACTCAACATTGTGACATTAGGCAATGACAATCAGCTTTTAAATTACTGTCAAACTGTGATCTCCACTGAAGTTCTACTGCTAATTCTGAGGCACAGCAGCGTCCCTGGGTTCTCAGAGATTAGAGAATGGGTCTTCTAGTGTGCAAGCTTTGGCAGGCCCTAACAATCTGGAAAGGCTTCCTGTAGGGTCCTGGTGAAAGACTGTAAAATCTCATTCTATCTAAAGAAGGTTTATTAAAAGGTTGGTCACATCAACTTAAACTTTTCAGTCAAAGCAACTCCTGAAGACTGACTACATCAAAAAAAAGGTCAAGATCTGCAACAGGTGAAGGGTAGAGTCAAACCAACAAAATCAGAGGGCCCTGAAGTCAGTGAAAGAAAACCAAACAAACTGAAACCTCCTGCACCTTAAAGTAAGGTAAAGCCTGGGTGTCATACAGCAAGAGGACATTCCTAATAGGAGAGTGCTCTGAGAACTTACACCAGTATGGAGGCAGGGAACATTGTGTATTTATCACTGTTAGTATGGATTTTCCTGATCCATACAAAGATCAGAGACTAGTAATATAAGAGGAAACCTCCTAGGAGCTGAGCCTTGGCTTTAGGATACCTTGAAATATCTCCAAATAGCTTAAAGATTATGACAAAATTCAGAAAGAATTTTCAAAATAAATTTTAATTCGCTACAAACATTAGTATGTATACACACACACACACACACACACACGAGAGAGCGAGAGAGAGAGAGAGAGAGAGACAGAGAGAGAGAGAGAGAGAGAGAAGAAAATCAGTCAGCTAGCATTTATTAGAAGTCTACTATGTGCCAGGCACTGTGCTCAGTGCTGGAGATACAAAGAAAGGCAAATGAAAGTCTTTGATCTCAAGAAGTTCACAGTCTAATAGGGGAGACAACAGGCAAACAACTATCTACAAACAAGTAGTAAATGTACTTAATGTACATTTGTACATTACTACACATAACAAGTACAAAAGTACTTAATGTACAAAAATCAGGGGTAATCGCAGAGGGAAGGCATTGATATTAACGAGGGCCAGGAAAAGCTTCTGGTAGGAGGTGGGACTTTAGCTGGCACCTGAAGGAGTCAGGAACTCCAGGGAAATTCCAGACATAGCGGACAAACAGATAAAATGCCCACAGCTGGAAAATTAATTGACCTGTTTGAGTAGCAGCAAGGAGGCGTCAGTATCATCAAATTTAAAATTAAATTTAAAACTTGAAATCATACCACCTTGGTGTCTCTCTTCCGACTCACCTCTCCTCTCCCTTCCTCTTTCACCAAGACCTGCCATACTGCTGGCTCTGTGACCCGGGACAAGTCACTTAACCTCGGTGCTCTAGGCAACTCTCTCAAGTTGCAAAAAACATGTCGACTTGCATAGGTAGGGTGAGTTTTATGGTGTTATTTACTTACTTACGAAAAGTCTCTATAGCAGTGAAATCAAAGATCCAGTCCCTCTCCCTATCTCTATGAAGTATGAAAACAAAATCCAAAGTTTCTGTTTTCCTAAAACTGAGCAAGATCATTTCAATAATTCGTAAATAAATAGCTATTATGTCCACTCCAAGAGTCTGCATCAAGCTATTTAAAGAAAACACTTTAATTTTTAAACATTCTTCTACTTAGCCTCACAGATTTCATAGTAAATGGGCTGCTCAGTAGTCTAGGCATCAGTTCTGAGTACCTGGCCTTCCTGAACTGACATGGCAAACTTATCTTTTTGTCCAAGATAACTCCACTCTTCATAGCACTTTACTCTGAAGTCACAGTGGTTTCCTTTTATGTCTCTGACTTTTCCCTTGTACTAGAATCATTGGTATAAACAGAATTTCATTTTTCAGAATTTCTAATTCCTTAATTGCTATTACGGTCTCCAGTCATAAAAAAAATATCCATAGTTTTCCTGAATTTTTTGAAATTTGTTTTTATAAAACCTAGGGTATCACCAATAATGTCTCACCACATCTTCAAACTTCAGAATGATATGGTCATTTTTTCCCCAAAGGCTTCTATACCTTCCACATCAAAAATCAGTTATTTTTTATTATTCAGAACCAAGTCTAAAATGACAGTTCACTCTGCTGTTTCATTTAAACATTCTGAAAGATTAATTATTAGCAAAGCAAGACAAAAATACATCAGATATTTTAAGCAGAATAGATTTCCAACTGAGATCAGGTTCACTGACACTACTAAAACTGGCATCTGTGTAAGTCTGTAATCAGCATAATGTCAGGAGAACATCATCAATATCCTCCACTAAGGTTGGCAATATGTAACACACTGTCATGTTTTCTCTTTTTATCTTAGTTGAGATACTCTTCATCCACTACTAAGTTTATGGACTTCAGTATAACTTCTTCATGTAGAGAGCTATTCATCAACCCTCTCCTATAAAATGTACTTATTTAAACTACAAGCTATGTAGATATGAAACATATCCAAACCCTCACAGCTTAGGGTTTGAAGAGCATTACAGGCTTTCATTCCACACCATCCATCCATCCATCTATCTACTTGTTATTTTCACCTGAGAATAAGTGGGTACCATCTTCACTTTTTCCTTCTATGGGACAAATCATCTTCCATATTATCTAGTTTTGCCATTTCATCTGGGATAGTTTTCTCCACTATCCCTTCAATTTAACAGCTAATCTCATTTTCTTCATTCTAAGGTTACTAGACTATTAGAACAGGAGAACATTGTAAGTATAACATACATAGATTTCAGTATAGTAGTAGATGAAATTTTGTGTTTGAGAGAGATATAGGATGAATCATATTAAAGTTTATGTAGATATACTTTTTATCTAGTTATATTCAATAAATATACCCAGCACTTGTAGTCTAAAGAGGACTATAGACTAGAAATAAATAATTTCCTTTTTTAATAATACTTTTAATCCAGAGAACAAACAGTCAAGGGAGTTACAGACATCTATGACTTTTCTCATACCATCACTAATATCTGTAGCTTTTCCTTCAATAAAATTTTGATTTCATCAATATGAGTATACCTCCTGTTCATGTGAACTACAACAATTCTATGTCTTAGTATATTTTTATGAGTGGGTATGGCCCACAATATTTTTCATTTAGTGGATGGCTAACATTATGCTGACAAACTTCTCAAAAAACAGTGAGGTTAGTTCTTAGGTGACAGTCTATTACTGGATCCAAACTCCAAGTCATGGAGTCTTCATCCAGAACTTAAGACTACCTTCATTACTGCCTTTGAGAACCTTGGAGTCACTATTATTTACAAATTATTGAAATGATCTTGCTCAGTTTTAGGAAAACAGAAACTTTGGATTTTGTTTTCATACTTCATAGAGATAGGGAGAGGGACTGGATCTTTGATTTCACTGCCATGGAGACCTTTCACAGCCCACTTTGGTGGGTTGATTTGTTAAGACTGCTATTTCCAAAATAGGAACCAGATACCCAAATTGTGATAAAAATATTGCTAACGATTGATATATTAATTTAGTGAACATTTATTTAACTTTTTTTTAACACAAAGAACCATGCTAAATGCAATTAAAAATATATAAAACAAAAAAACAGAAAATGTGTTCTCTACCCTTTAAGAACTTACAATCAAGTTGGGGAGACTAAAAATAAACATCAAACAACAAGAAGCATACTAGTTAATTTCCCACTCAATTTCTCTGTCAGACTGGGAACTATTTGATATTTTGATAATTAGAAAATCTTTTGGCATAAGCACCTGGAAATGGAGGCAAAGCAGTAAGTATTTGTTTTCTGTTCTACAGTTACAATGTAATATGATAGCAAGACCCTGTGATCTTTGCTATTTGCTTTACAAAGGAATTCTTTACCGTATAAAAAATTCAACACAGAAATCAAGTTCACCAAAGTATTTAAAGAATAATTAAATTCACATCCAATCTTTCAAAACCATTTATATATGAAAACTCCAAATTTGGTGTGTTTTCCCCTTTACTTGTGAACAGGTTAATATGTAGGATGGATAGTGTTTAAACAACAATTGCAGGATTTTGATTTAAATCATTAAGCAAAAAAAAAAAAACCAAAAAATCTGAAAAATGTTTATGATGTAACTATTTTGTCCTTACTATATAATATTCTTAGTTCACAAAAGTTGACTTTGCTAAACATAAAATTATACTCTTCCTTGTAGAAAATGACAAATTATCTTACTGTTTGGCTGTCAGGGAACTCCATTTTCAGCAACTTGTGTGCACATTCTTCAAAATCTAAACTGTAGATAAAAAAATGGCATATTTTAGATTTGGAACTTGTAGAACTCGTTTAAACAACAGCATGACTGAAGGCACAGAGCTTCCTTTCATTGCTAATCCTGTTTTCTTATATTTTTGTGCAATTTCAGTAGTCTGATATTATCTGAAGGAAAAGAAATGATTTCCTATCATTGCAAAGAGAATAATATTATCTCACATAATTGTCAACGTAAGGTCCTTGTATTTTAGCTGTAACTTTAAGGAAAAGTCCTTTTAACTTGTTTTGATTTTTCCAGTCATTTATTCTGTTCATTGTCTTTATCTCCAAACTGAGCAAAAAAAATGACAGTGTAATTCAAGCACACTTTCCTAGTGGGGAAAAATAATTTTGAAAATACAAAGGAATTATGAAATAAACACTAGAAAAAAATTATATACGTTTGTAGGCTTGTTATATGTTCTGAAGGATTTCTCAAACTTTGTAATTAAATAATCCAGGAATTCAGCCCCAAAATTTTGTTTAAATGTCTGGACTTTATCAAAATATGGTGTCTTATGACCCAGAATTCTCAAGTAAGTCAGTTTTTCACATGGCCAGTCATGTTCTACTCTAAAAAAGCCTAAAGAAATGAGAGTTAAAAAGTATTCACCTAAATAAAATTAAGAAAAATGAAATAGAAGCACAAAGTAGAAACAGAAAGAAAACAAGATGGAAAGTTTTAAAGTTGATGTTAAAATTTGATGGAAAATATATCATAAAAATATTTAATTCAGTGAGATATTCAAGTGAAGTCAAGAAGAATTTATTAAGCACCTATTATGTGCCAGGTAGTGTGCTAAACAACAGCAAAAGAAAAAGGGGCAAAACAGTCCTTGTTCTGAAGAAGTTCTTGGTTACATGGCCCAACCTCTCATTTTACAGGCTCAGAAAGATCACATAACTTGCTCTACGGTGAAAGAGGCATTAAGTAGCAGAACCAGGATTTGAACTCAGGTCCTGTGGTTCCAGGTTCACTGCTCTTTCCTTACACCTAATTAATACTAGAAAATTTGAACTTCATTTAAGAATGCTAACACTTTGATGTGCTTCTACTAGAGGTATGTTTCTATATTAGTTCTCATTCTGCTTAAATTTAAAACTGAGACAATAAAATATTCAACAGAAATTTAATAGTTAACGTCTTATTGTGAGACTCGCCTATGTTTTCACCCCCCACCACCAATTGCCAATTACTATTTATGAACACAAGACAACACTAGAGTGGAATTTTATAAAACAATGGATCAAAATAGGCATATTGAGGAAAATCCACCTACCCAAAGAAACCATTAACCTTTACAGCTATGAGGTACACAAATATAGTTTGCAATGGTAAAGTCAATTTTGAAGAGATCATTTTCACAAAAAAATACAGAAATATAATAATATTTGCAAATGCAGACAATGTAAACATTTCCACTCTTAATTTCCTTAAAAGACAAGCTTTAGTTTATAGGGAAAATCTAAATTCTGAAAAAAACAAGGAAATCAGTTGATGGGGAAAGTAATGAATATCCTGTTTTCCTTGTTAAATTTTATTATTTTTCTTCATGCCTAGTAAGTTAAACATCACAGAGAAAGCCAGCTGCATGAGAGGCTTATTTTTCTTGTTCATAATTTTATTTATAAATTATGTGGTCATTTCCCCACACATGAGGCCATTTTGAAGTTATACTCATTGTTCTACTAAGTATTTTTAAATTTAGAAAAATTAAAAACTCTCATAAAGATTAGTTCTTAGGCATAAGCTTTCAATTTTCCAATAGCTTCTATAAAATAAATTTTACTATTGATTCAAAATTCTGAAAGCTAATTATTTTTAACAGCAAATTTACACATAAATAAAAACACATTTTATGTTTGTCTTAAAATCTCAAGTTTTGTGTTGGAAAGAAATGGATGCATTAATCTTAGAATAAATTATTAGTGGTAGAGGAATGGATAAAGAAAGGGCATACATCTGCATATACATACTCAAATAAAGTAAAATCAGTGGAGAAATAGCAGTCCTAGCTTAAAGAAAAGGAGGGTGGACAGCTAGGTGGCACAATGGATAAAGCACTGGCCCTGGTGTCAGGTGGACCTGAGTTCAAAGCAGACTATTCATTAAAAGGTACAGATATTTAAGTGGCTCAGGGGCCAAAGGTTCAGCTGGTGACATTCCTTCTTGGTCAACATGATTGTTGTTTCTCCTTGTTTAGACATCATGGGGGTGATGTCCTCACTTGCCCATGAATTGGATTCAAGTAAGGCAGAATTGTACAGTCATCAGCCTCACTCTCTCTTCCAGAGTCATCAATGTTCAGTGGCAAGACAAAAGTCAATATGACTGGAGATAGCCCAGGATGCAGTGGATGATGTTGGTGTCTCTGATGTCTAATCAAGCTCAAAGTGCTCCACAGTGCCTGCTTCAGCCCCCTTCATGGCCGTTGGAACAAACTGTTCTCATCTACCCGTTCTGCCAGAGGAAGTCTTCACATGCTTGGGGTAGACAACCCCTAACTCACTAGCAGATTTGAGGCTTGATGGTTAACCTCAACCTGTTTTAGCCCATCTGCAGAGATGACTTCAATTTTACCACAGTGTGGCTGCTACACATGCTACAGCTTCTTGGAGCCACAGGTGAGAGTTGGGATTACAAAAACAGTCAAGGAATGAGGGAAGGCAGACTTCTGATGAAGACCAATAATATGACTAACAGTAGAACAGGAACTATACTACCAATAGACATCCATTTCCCATTCTGAATAGTCTTCCTTTGATCTAAGTAAGCCTCCTTTTGTTAACTGTTATATGGACTACAAATGTTGCATTTTGTTCATTTTTAAACCTTAAATACTCAAATAGCCTAGTGAGATATGGACCTGCTTGGTCAGCCCTAGTCTAGCATATGGTTGTAATAAAAATAAGACAATAAATGCAAATGAGAGGACTATATGAAGTGTTATGTTAATGGGAGATGATAATCTGACAGTGTCATATGTTTTAGGAAAGTAAAGAAAGGGGACTGGGAAAATAAAGACATTCAACCTCACACAAAGAAGGGCTTAGTGCCTTGGAGAGACATTCCAGTGGAGTCATCATGATGGAAGCCAGACAGTAAGGAGTTAAGGAAAGAGTAGATGGAGAAGAAATGGTGGTAGCATGTATAGCCCATAATTTGCTCTTTCTAGCATTCTGTCAGTAAAGGTTGATAGTTTGGGGGAGAAGTGAATGCTGAGAGGGTGGCATATGGGGGAAAGGAAGAGTGTCAAAGTTAAAAGTTTTTGTTTTTTAAATAGGTGAAGCCTGAGCTTGGTTGTAAGCAGTGGAGGAGATGGGAATAAAGACAGAAGATGAGAAAGACTAGATATGACCAAAGGATCAAGATTTCAGAATAGATGGGAGAGGGCTAAACCCTGACAAAGATGGGTCCTCTACAACTGGAGTCAAGTAGGAGGTAACAGGTGAAAACACAGGAGGTTTAGGAGACAGAAGTTGAGATAGCACCTGTCAAATGGCCTGGATTGTCTTATTAAATTACAAGAGTGTCAGGTGGCTAAAGGGTAAAAGAACAACCATTAAAAGGTGGGAACAGCACAAATGTAGAGTTGCTTGGGTCTCAATTGGCACAGGCTCAAGGTCTGTGATCTAGAGTAGAGACCACCAAAATGGCAGCTCTCACAGGTGAAGTTTTTGCAACCTGATGACCTGATATTGGGGAGGGAGATGGAAAAAGGGAAATTATATTTATAATATTAGTTATTATATAATATTACATTAACCCTACTATAATACTGTTTATTCATTATCTTTCATTTTCACTAAAACACTCTAATTTCATGTCATAAAGAAGAGGTCTTCCAAGTTCTTGAAGAAAATTATAACTATCTCTGGAATGTCCCACCCAAGGAAAGGAAAGCATAGGTCCAGCAATGGACAATGTTTATCATTCAAGGAGCAATACAGTAAGATTTGGAAGGCTTATCACAGAAGGTTGGTCAACCAAGTGATGGATTTTTGGCAGGATGAGGGTGTGCATAGCAATTATGAAGACTTTATTAAGGTGTAGGAGTGATTATGATCTGCAAGGGTGGCAGAAATAAACTGAATTTTGTACCTTTGAAGTACTGAAAAAATTTTATTTTATTCAAGTTATTAAGAAAATGTGGATATTCTCAATGAAAAAAAAAAAGAAAAGAAAAGAAAGGAAGGCACTTCCATAATGGTAACAGGGACTAATTTATAAGAAGTTAGTAGAAACTGATATTTGATTAACAGAAAGGCCAAAATAGAATGTCAATCTATTATCTTAGAATGTCACTTATCCATTAAAGAAGTCCAATTTTCTATGATAATTTAGTTTGAAAAGAATAAAATATTTAATACGTATTTTTTATTTTAAGAGAGAGGTGAATAGTCAAGCCCAAACCAAAAAATTCCCAACCTGTATTTTGCTCTTTAACATTCTTCCATTTGAAGATGAATCTAAAGCCAAGAAAATTTTCAGACAGACTGAAAACAAGATGACTCCCACTTATGAATCATAGCTATTACATCATACCAAGCGGAAATATACAAAACCTAGTAACAAAACAAATCTGTGAAAACATTCTGCCTCCAGTATAAAATGTAAACACTGTTATCTACCATCTCAATAGGTTTCTTCACATTCAAAACAACAGATGTATTAATTATTTAACATTTTCATGTATTTCTCTTCATAATTAAACTCAGTGACTTCTAGTTTAAAAGGAATCACTTTGTTTTCAAAATGTAGTTATTGCCTTTACTTAACCTCACTTTGGAGGGTCTTTAAAATTTGCCTGAGAACTTCTTTCTAGTATATTCATATTCAACAGATCTCTTCCCATCTGCACTGCAAAACACAGTGTGAAAAAGTTAGCAGAGAAGGACTCTTTTGCTCAGAACCAGAACTTGGAATCCAAACAAGTAAAAATAAATCATTAAATTTCCACCATATCACTAGACTGTAGATAAAGTGAGTAGCAGTTCTCAAGATTTTGTTCGTGATTATATTTAACTGCAAAGAGAATAAGATGGTTAATAGCATTTTATTATGAAACAAAGACTATTAAGGAAACCAAGGCTACATAGGTGATTTCAATATACACAGGTAGGAACTTACCTTGACTGAATAGCAAGATAAATTGTACGACGAAATGACACTAGATTGATTTCTGTTTTGTCATGGATAGTCACTTTTTGTCCTGGAAGAAAATAGCAAAATTTAGAAAACATCAAAATAAGTGTGAAACAAATGCAAATAAACCTTTGTATAATTATACTTTAAAAACATAAAATCAGACAGATTTTTAAAAGTTATTTTCTCAGTTGCAAGGTAGGTGGACAGTCCTAGAATCTGCAGTCAGTAACCTTACTGAGCTATTAGGGTACAATCGAGCATGTTCTGTGGCAGATTCTAGGAGGAGAATTAACTTAATTTGTAAAATCCTTTAAAAAATAAGCCTCCAGTATCAACCTAAATGTGATTTTTTTTTTACAGGGAAAAAAAATAAAGTGAGTGGTCTCTTAGTAGGCAACATTGCTTCAAAAAGTTTCTGAACCAAACTAAGAAAACTCCCTATAAACTACCCATTTATAGAAAAGACTTCTTCATGTGGTTGTCTGACAAAATAATATTTCAATAAACGGCATCTAGGTGCTTTAGAAGAATTCATTCATTTATGGGTGAACTTTCTGAGAATAAATGACTCACCACAACAGATTAATATAAAATATGAAGTACAATGTAAATGCAAATGTTAGCCCTATTTGTGGTCCCTCTAATTCATGAAAACTTTGGTCATATTTATTTTTAAGTTCTAAAATGAAGCAGAGCAGGTAAAAGCATACATATCAATCCTCCTTTTAAAAAAATTAATAGGCTTACTGTTAGAGTTAATTATATAAGTACCATTACATTTTTCTTAAATACTATTGAAATAACTTGGAAAAACTGTTTACCTTCTTCATCTTCATCCCCCTCTTCTTCTTCCTCTTCCTCTTCTTCACTACTTCTAGCATCTTGGTCTGTGTTTGAATCACTGTCACCTTCATCAAGAATTTCTAGAAAAAACAAAGTAGGTAATAAAATCAAAGCAAAAATTAAAGGTCACATGTCACAAATGTATCACATTTTGAAAAGAGTATGTCTGGTTCACTCCGCACTGCAGGGCAGTAGGAGAGCACCAACCCCTTAAATACACACGAGCCAAGTCGGAGTGCTCTACTAGGAAAAAAAACATTATTATCCTTCTGCCAAAAAAAGCTAGGTGGTCATGACACAAAGGCTGGACAAGCAGAAAAAAAGAATTAGCTGGTAGCTTTTCAACACACAATGTGGCATATTTTGAGAGACAAAGTCATATTTATTTCACCATAAGAAGGAGAGTTGGCAACTAATAAAAGGCCTGGGAAGGACAGAGAAGAAGATGAATAAGACTGCTAAGAATTTCAGGGTTCTCAAAAACATTTTATAGAACATGAAAAGAGAAAAAAAAATCTCATTATTCTTTTATTATCCATTTCATACTATACACGGACATAGTTTAATAGCGAACAATCAAAATCAATAATATAGCCCATCTAAAGAGTGGTCAAATGTAAAACAAACCAAGTTGCAGAAATTTCATTCTGAAAAAGTACCATTTGTTCTATCGGTCTTATAGTAGGATTTGTACTAGCTTAAAACCTATGGAACTTCTGGACTTCTAAAGTCATTTGTTTAATGATACTGTCCATAAGATCAGTGATTTTTTTATGTTTTTTAAAATCTGTAACTTCAGTAGCATGGGTTAAATTCTACTACATCTTAGTCAATGTGATTTAGGAGCTACTGTGCCCCCACATCACCTGGCGATCAGGTTTACTTAGACTTCTCTCAAATAACAACCTTCTAGTGGTGAGGTTCTCTGAACTTATCAAGACTGGTATTTGGACAAAAGGCACGCAGTCTGGGGCTGAATCTACACTTAAAGACTTTCTAGTCTTTCTGGACTAGTTTGGAAGGGCCTGCATCATCTTATATTTAGTTGGCAAAATCTTCAGGAACCTAGAATCACCTTTATGCCATGATGAGGCAATCAAAGCTTTGAAGCTGAAACAATGCAAAAGGATCATATTCTCCTGCTTTTATACAGATTCTAAATGCCCTCATAGCAGGGAGTTATAAATCCAAATGTATACCTGGAAACTTCTAAATAAATCTCCTTGGCAGAAGTACTAACTAACAGGAAAAGAGAATGATACTATTTCAATGGTGTACTAACAACAAAATTTGCCAGTTCTCTTAAGGAGGTAGGAAAATTATAATATTGGAAATTCAAAATGTCATGATAGCTTTGATACACTTTTTTTTATGATTTAATATTTTATTTTTCCCAATTACATGTAAAAACAATTTTAACATTCTTTTTTTCAAATTCTGAGTCCCCAATTCTCTCCCTTCCTCCCCATCCCAACCCACTGAGAACGCAGGCAATTTGACAGGTTATACATGTGCAGTCACACAAAACACATTTCCAAGTAAGTCATGCTGTGAAAGAAAACATTGACCAAAACAGAAACCCACAAGAAAAACAAAGAAAGTAAAGAAAAAGTATTCTTCATTCAGGTTCCACCAGTTTTTTTCTCTGGAGGTGGACAGTATCTTTCCTCATAAGTCCTTCAGAATTGTCCTGGATCACTGTATTGCTGAGAATAGCTAAGTTATTCACTGTAGACCATCATACACAACATTGCTATTACTGTGTACAATGTTCTCCTGGTTCTGCTCATTTCACTTTGCATCAGTTCATGTAAGTCCTTCCAGATTATTCTGAGAGTATCCTGCTTGTCATTTCTTTTTTTTTTTGGCTAGGCAATGGGGTTACATGACTTGCCCAGGGTCACACAGCTAGTAAGTGTTGTATGGCTGAGGCTGGATTTGAACTCAAGTCCTCCTGAATCCAGAGCCAGTGCTCTATCCACTATGCCACCTAGCTGCCCCTCTGCTTGTCATTTTTTTAAAAATTTATTTATTTTTATTTTTCAACATACTTTTTCAATAGGAAAATAATAAGCATCCAAGAAAGTCAGTCAGTCAATAAACAATAAATGAGTGCCCACTATGTACCAAGCACTGTGCTAAGTACTTGGGATACAAAGAAAGCTAAGATAGTTCTTGTTCTCAAGGAACTAATAGTCTAATAGGGGAGATAATATCAAAATAACTGCAAACAAGCTATAGAGAGGGTATATAGTAAATAATCAATAGAGAGAAGGCACAAAATGAAAGGGATCAGGAATGGCTTCAAGTAGAAGGTGGGATTTTAGCTAGAATTTGAAGGAAGCCAGGGAAGCTAGAAGGTGAAAAAGAAAGAGAACATTCCAGCTATGGGGGACGGCGGCTGGAAATGACGAGAGTCAGGCAATGGAGTGTCACGGTGTTTTGTTCCAGGAACAGCAAGGAAGCCAATGTCAGAGTTGGGGAGATGGGGAGATGAGGTGTGTGTGGCGGGGGGGCAGGGGTGGTGGCAGTGGGGGCTTCTGAAGTGTACAAAGACCAGGAAGGTGGAGTGAGGGATAGGTTATTAAAGGCTTGGAATATCAAAGAAGATCTTATATTTGCTCTGGGAAGTGATAAGGAGCCAGTGAAGTTGGGGGAGAAGGAGGAGAAGGAATAACATGGCCAGACACTTTAGGAAGATCACTTTGACAGCTGAGTGAAGGATGGACTGGAGTGAAGCGACACTTGAGGCAAGCAAAGCAACGAGCAGATAACCAAAATGGCCTAAGAGTGAGGTGACAAGGCCTGCACCACAGCGGCAGCAGTGTCAGAGAAGGGGGCATATGTGAGAGATGTTATGAAGTTAAAATAGACACTAACAACAGAGTGGATATGGGGAGCAAGAGAAAAGTGAGGAGTTGAGGATTCCTTGACACCTACCGAGGTTGGGAGCCTGGGAGGATGCTGGTACCCTCAATGGTATTAGGGAAATTGGGAATAGGTTTAGGCAAAATAATAAATTCTGTTTTGGACATGTTGAGTTTAAGATGTCCATGCTACATCTAGTTCAAGATATCCAAGAGGCATCAGAGATGTGAGACTAGAAGTCAACAAAGAGGTTAGGGCTGGTTAAGGATATTTGAGAATCATCAGCATAGAGATGATGACTGAATCCATGGGAGCTGATGGGATGAACAGATGAAACAGTACAGAGGGAAGAAAAGAACAGGGTCCAGGACAGAGCTCCGTGGGATACTCATGGTTAGCAGGAATGACCTGGATAAAAAGATTTAGTAAAGGAGTGATAAGAAAAGTAGAAGAGAACCAGGAGAGAGTAGTGTCATGAAAACCTGAAGAGAACAAAGTGTCTAGGAGAAGAGAGTGATCAAGAGTGTCAAAGGCTGCAGAGAGGCCAAGAAGGATGAGAACTGAGGAAAGCCACTAGATTCAGCAATTAAAAGATGATTAGTAACTTTGGAGAGAATAATTTTCATTGAGTGATTAGATCAGAAGCCAGTCTGTAGACAGTTAAGAAAGTGGAGAGAACACCTTGTTTCCTAAATGCTGCAAACACAAAACAAAGTAAATACAGCTCATCAGGTAGAACCGTGTTACTAATGCTGTGTCCATCCTTAAATACTGCCCTTTTTGGTAACAGCCTCCCGCAACGAAAAATATTTTTGAAAGAATGAAAGTCAAGGAAATTCCAGTGATTATTTCCATCAGTTTCTCTTAATCTATAGTGAATTTTGCTTAACTGTGAAAGTTGATTAGATTTCATTTTAATTAACTGGATAATTTTTTTAAAATGAGATATTCCATTTCTAGCTATTGGCATATCGCCAAGATGCTTGAAGATGGGAGAATCGGGGGAAAAAAAGGAATAAAAATGGGACTTCTAATTTCTCCAGGAACAGATGCTAACTTTACAATACAAAAAAGAGCTAACTTAGCTAAAATTTCCAGCAGTGTTAATAAACTAAGGGAATGAACTTGTAATTACAATTAAAATATTCTTTAATTTTGATTCCCCAAATCAAAATAACCAATTTGGATAAAAGAAACAAATGGTTTGGGTTTTCTATTAATCAGTAGACATTTATTATGCATCTACAATTCATTATCCTTCATGCTATAAAAGTTAAACAACAAAAAGGCACTTCAAGTAGCTTTCATCCTAGGTATAGAGACAGACAAAAGACAATTGGGAACAATTCAAGATAATATATAATGGCTGAATTGTGCAATACTGACTTTTAGTGCTATAAAAGGCATTTTAGAGGGTCGGGGAAGATAGCATCAGCAAATGGTTGGAGACACATAAATGAAATAAACAGTCAGAAGACAGGATATGCTAGAGTAGAAGGAATGAGGAAGAGAGAGAAAGAAGTAAGAAGAGTCAAATTACATCCAGTAGGAAGAAGGATATCAAAGTGTTTTTTTAGGAAAATTAGTCTGGCAACTGAATTCAGGATGCCTGAAGTTAGGGAAATCAGCCAGGTAATTATTGAATAATCATGGTATGAAATGATGAGAATGATTTCTAAAGACATTTTGGGGGAATAGTTCTCAGTCTCCTTGCTGGTTCATCATCCATATCAGTCTCCTAATTCTGGGCACACCCTAAAGCTGTCTTGAGTACTCTTCTCATCCCTCTCTAAATTTTCTCACTCAGTAACCTCAGCAGCTCCTATGGGTTTAAATATTACCTGTATGTCTCCGTCTGTAGTTTTTTCTCTTGAGCTATACCTACCCCTGCATCAACAACTGATTACTAGACATTTCAAATTTGAGGTCCCATAAACATCTCCAACTCAACAAGTTCAAAATGGAGCCTATTATTCTCCCCCAAAGCCATCCTTCTGAAATCTCTCTCTCTTTTTTATCCCTGTAAAGGACACCAATATCCTTCTGGTCACTTACGTTTGTAATCTCAGTGTTATCCTTTCCTCATCCTTACTCAACCTACAAATGAAGTCAGTTGCCATTTCTTCTTTCAGAACTCTTGTAGTTGGCCAATTCTGCCTACCCAATGGCCACCCCCAGTGTAGGCTCTTATCATTTCTCACTACAATAACCTGCTAATTTGTCTTCCTATGTCGAGTTCCCTCCCCACCTCAATGAATCATTCATAGAGCTGCAGCAATTTTCCTAAAGCATAGGTCTCACTATGTGACTTTCCAACTCAGTAAAATCTGGCAGCTTTCTATTATAATATATAAACTTTTCTATTTGGCATTTATAGCCTGGTCCCAATCTTATTTTACATTATTCCCTTCCCCAGGCTTTATAGTCCTGCCAAACTGGTCTTGCTATTCTTAACAAATGACATTTCAAATTTCAACTTTGTGCCTTTACATTTGCATCTTTATGTCTCCAATATACTTCCTCCTCACCTCTGCCTCTTAGATTCCCTTATTTTCTTCAAGATTTAACTTAAGTATCACTTTCTGCATAATGATTTTTCTGAGGCCACGATCCTGTGGATCTTAGTGTCCTCTCTCCCCAAATTATGTTGCATATATATATATGTTCTCCATATACTTATTTATGGACTTGTTTTTTCCAAAACTGTTTATGGACATGCTGTTTTTTCCAAAATAATTGAAGCTTCTTGAGCACAGGGGTTACTTCATTTGTTATCATATTTCCAGTGCCTACTGTGATTCCTGATACACAGTAGGTGCTTATTAAATGAATATTGATGCTGGTTGACTGAATACAGAATATTCAATTCAATTACGAATTAACATGCCCTGGTTCCTAAACAGTTGCTTTATTTTTTAAAATTCTTGAGCTTTTAAACAATGGGCACAATTCTTACAAATTAAATATAAGATAATCACAAAAACACTCCATAAAAATATAAAATTACAGTTGTGTAGTTTTTTTTAAACTTGAGAATCAATTTAAAGAAAATTCCACTTACCTTTCTTAATAGTTTTGTATTTCTCTTCATTTTCCATAAAATTAGGATCCAGCTTGAAGACATCTTTTAAAAAAGAAAAACAGTGTATTTTAAAATCATGAAAACACTCATGATATTTACACTGAACCCCAAACAGTTTGGCACATTTTCTTACTAAGTACATCCTCTGGATTATAGTCATCTTCCAAAGGAAGCATATGAGTGAACTGGTCTTCTTCCTCCACTAGATCAAGTCCTTCCAGAATAACAGGGTGATCTTTGAATCCATCCTTACGTACTGCAAACATCACTTCAATCATATATTGAACTCGTTTGTCAATTTCAGATTCATGGAGAATGTTGCGAAGGCGTTCAAATATAGCTATAATACAAAAAAAAAAAGTTAATCTGAATAAGAGACTCACAATATTCAACCAAAACCCCAACTCTATAGTAAAGGATATACTTACCATTAATACCCCTAGGTGACACTTCTGTTAATTTTAGGCCACACTCTTTAAGAAATCCAATTGCTACTTCAACACTATCATCTGTTGGTCTTTCAAGAAGTAAGGTGAGCATCTCTAAACATAAAACTTCATGTGCCTATAAGAGTGGGATGTAGTATGATTAAAAGAACATGCTTTTGGATAAATATTAATAAAATAATACTTTAAGTTATATAATATCAATGAAAATTTCTTGTGATGGCAATGCTGGGCAATAAGACAACAAGCTCTATTACTAGCTGCAGATGAGCTGACACCAATATCTCAATTAGACAGTAAATTTATTTCTTCCGCTTTTGTACATCTAAGATCTGTTAACAAATCCCCCCAAATTGTTCAAATGTTAACTCAGACTGAATAGAGGGACTGGTTGACTATGATTTGTGCACACTTGCTGCACAACAGGTTCCTTCTACTAGGCCCAATCCTTTATCCTGGAACCTTATTCCAACCCTGGAATTTCTCAGTAGATACAGCCTCTGTTCCTGAGGCTTCTCTCTCTAACTGGATGGCTTCTTCCAGGACATCTAGTTAGAGAAGTGCCTCAAGCCAGCCTAGACAAATTCTGATCCAGGATGCACTCCAGACTTCCTACACAATGGAGGGAGGGGCAAACCTTTGTCTTTCCTCCACCCCTTTTCAGCCTCTTTAGGTGCTGACATTCCCATTAGAATGCAAGCTCTTAGAGGGCAGAGGCCAGTTTTTCTCTCTACTTGTATTTTTATATTCCCAGCTCTTAACACAGCACAGGGCACTTTGTAGCTGCTGTTTAATCATTCAGCCCTGACTCTTTCTGATCTGTGGACCACAGCAGGCTGATACTGTCCAAGGGGTTTTCTTGGTAAACTACTAGGAGTAGTTTACCATTTTCTTCTCCAGTGGATTAAGGCAAACAGAGGTTAGGTGACTTGCCCAGAGTCCCAAGCTAGTAAGTTGTCTGAGGCCAAATTTGAACTCAGACCCAGCACTCTATCCACCGAACCACTTAGCTGCCTCTGAAATAATAAATGCTCAATAAATGGTTGAATGGCTGACCAATGGCATCATCTTAAGAATATTCTTTTGATATTTAGATAAATGCCAATTTTACCATCTTCAATCTATAATATAAAATTCAATATTCAAGTTGAGAGCACGTTTAATAATCCTGGATTAGGAACATATTGTTTTATATAATTTTCTCTGATTAAAGCATTATATGCATCTAATAATTCAACCTTTTAATGTCTCATTATATGAATTCTAATGTATCAAAAAACTCTTTCGGTAAAAGGAAAAAATACTATATAACTCTATAAAATGAATCAAATTATCAATACAAGAAAAATCAAAAAGTATATTTAAAGTTTCATTTTGATAAGTAATACCATGAATAATTTATAAACAAATTTAGAAGAGAATAATTTTATTATGAAAATTTATCATAAAAACAATGTTTCTTATAATGGAGCCAAAGGACTTAGACAATCTTTCCTAAAAGTTGTTCATATATTACAAGGAAAAACTGTTAAAATTTCATAATGAGTAACATCAAAAATGAAAATAAAATAATAATCTCATATCTATGACAGAAAAATAATGCTTCCTCTCTACAATGAAAGAAGAGATATAAAATACACCAACTTAACTTTTTGGCAAAAGACCTGAAAATATTTTTGATTAGCTTTATACTGTTCACTATGGTGTTTGCAAATTTTGTGGAATTTTGCAGTGTCTCAGCATATGTAAAATCAATTGTCTATGGTCTTAAAGAATAGGTTTGTTCATACTCCCATGGTGGCTAGGGAGGTGGACCTCAATTATTTTTTTATGAGTAAGAGTGAATTCCTATAGTTAAAAGAGTGACGCTGAAACCCTGGCACTTAGTAACCTTAAACAAAATTCATTTTCATTTATTACTTCTCTCAACATATAAACTACAACAGATATGAAAAGTAAGCTTTTAAGTAAGGTCAATATCAATTTTGCTACTTGCCAAGATTGCAAACTTAATTATTTTAGAGGGAAAAAAAAAAACACTATAGAATAAGGAAATGTTTGAGCCAAATAAATTAAAAAGTAGCACACCAAAATGAAAATATATTTACCAATAATATAAATGACAATTACTTCTTCTATCTGTTTAAACTGAATAACCTGAAGGCAAAGATACAGATATAGGAAATGACATTGCCTACTATGTTCATATAATTAGGGTCTAATGAATAAATGAGTGGGAAAAAGTTTCCAATTTTAGTCTCAAGATTAAAAAAATACATGAAGTTACACTATTTGAAAGTGTAGTAATTTGTAAAGAATATCCATGTGCAGTTTGATAGTAATATAATATGCAAATGTAAAAAAAACCTAGATATTTTCTAGTTCTTTATGAAAAAATATTAGGTGTTCATTATAATTATCAACTAAAACACTGAAGAAAAAATAAATCATGTTGCATATCACAAGGAAAAAAACAACAACAAAGGATATGTTATAGAGCTAGAGTCCCTTTTCTATGGAATAGGTCAAAATTTCAAGGCAAGTACTTACCACATTCTGGTTAATAAGATGCGCAACAAATTTTGAAGCAGTAAGACAAAGTTGCTGCAAAATGATGCAAAAAGAAAGAGTTAAATAGTAAGCTTGACTTCCTGAGTCTTAAAACATCTTCATTTAGTTGCGGAATCTACAGTATTTTAATAATTTATCTAAAATGTAATTAGTATGAACTTATTTTTTCAAGTAGGAAAATAAGAATATAAAATTTTCTTAAAGTATCACAGCATTAACAACATTTGCATATATAGAATAAGTTGGAAGTATTAGGGGTGTTAATTCATTGTGATTTATCACTGGAAAAATTCTACAGAATTATCAGAATTTAAGTATTTTTAACTTTTCTCTGTACTGTTGTATATTATCTATAATATAGATGTATAGCACTCTGAACTATTACAGCATTTACAACGCAAAATCTATTACATACCTTATCATTTCTTCGATAGCCTTTTCTAAAATTGAGAATTAGCCTCTTGAGGATCAATTCTCCAATGTTTGGGAATTTTGAGTTAATAATTGCCACAAGGGCTGCATAAACATGGGTAAAGATTGGAGATGCACTTTGCGCTTGCAAAACAGATCGAGACAGCAATCCCCTGTGATTTTTCAAAAAAGAAAAATACATCAAAACTTTTTTCAAATAAAAAAATTTATGAATACCCACTACATTCATTTCCAAAGAAAAAATACTTTTATCAGCAACTTTAATGCAGTAACAGTATTTTCTATTCTAAGTAGCTGTGAGAACCAAATAAAGACCAAATTTTTCAGCACTTTTAATAAACACATGCTAGGAGGTCTTCACAACCCTAAATTAACCCTACTTCTCCAACCCTAGGAGTAGGTTGTTGACAGAATTTGTCTCTTTCAGCTCCTATTTCTTCTAACTCATGACTTTTGGCGTTTTGAAAGAATTCAGAAATTAAAAGTTTATAAAGAAAAGAACATCTAAGCAAAAAATTAGAAAAAGACTCAAAGACAAACAAACCAGCTTCAAAAATATTGGTTTTAAAATAGTTGCTGTTCAGTTGTTTCAGTCATGTTTGACTCTTCATGACCCCATTTAGAATTTTCTTGGTAAAGAAACTGGAGTGGTTTGCTATTTCTTTCTCCAGCTTGTTTTACAGATGAGGAAACTGAAGCAAAGGTTAAATGACTTGCTTACAGTCACACGGCTAGTAAGTATCTGTGCCAGATTTGAACTCAGGAGGATGACTCTTTCAGACTCCAGGCCCAGCACACTATCCACTGGGCCAGCTAGCTGCCCTTCTCAACAGACATTAGCTACAGCACTAACATATAACATATCTATGGCATGAATGCTAACGGCAGACTAAGAAAAGATTTTCTACAAAATTTAGCCTACTATCACCTTAAGGCAGGGACTGAAGGTAAATAAAAATTATTTTGGGAAGACCTTTCCACCATTTTAAAAAAATCCCTCTCCCATATCATGGCAGTTCTTATTTTCATTTACCAACTCTCCTGTAAATCAATACCCTAATTGTTACATATAGCTGTCAAAGCCTCCAATTTCAGCACTGTAAAGAGGTCTGCCTGACCCCAATTTATATCTACTCTCTACCCTTACCTCCCTGCTCCTCAATCAAAATTCACCAGTCCTGGCTAACTAAACTAAGGAGAAAGCTAACAGCATAAATTATTGTTGTTGTTGTTTGTCCTTCATCCTCAAAGATGACCATGGCATCAGGAAGGTGATGCCATGACTTGCAAATAAACTGGATTTCAGGGAAGAAGGGCTGTGCAGAATCAACAGCCTCACGTTTTCCTCCGGAGCCATCTGGGTCCAGTGGCAAGACATAAATCAGGATGACTGGCAATGGACCCATGAAGTGGGAGACCTTGGTCTTTTTAAGCTAGGATCTTTCCTAGGTCTCAGTTTAATTGTGGCAACACCCATTCAGTGATTAAGGCTAGGTAAGAAATGAGACAAAGAACAGCCTCTTCAACCTAATCAAAGGGAAAAAAATCAATCCGGAAGGTGAAGACCTTTAGAGTTTCTGGCCAAAACATGAACAATTACTATTTATATTTACTCTGAGCCAATCAGGGCCCAAACATTGACCATTAAGTGGGGTTTAGGCTGGGATCTATTGTTGACCAATCAATGAGAGCCAGAGTGAACTGGGTTTAAGGCATGGTCCTTAAAAAAAGAAATCTAGTCCATAAATCCCAAGATATCTATGGGTTTCAGAGATGGAAATTTACATTCCTTTGGGCAGAGCACCCTTAGGTAAAGGTATGATATCCTACGTGAACAAAGGGAGATGAAGGAGAGGAGAGGAACAGATAAGTTATACTACAGTGTGAATGCCCAATAGAATCAAACTTTCCAGAAGAGTATTTGTCATATTCAAGCCTCCCTTCTCCCAAGTAAATGGTAAGGTCTTTCTTTTTCCTTTCTCTTTTTTAAACCATCAGTACCTAATACCACATATAGGCACTTAATGAATGTGTGTTGAATGAATAAGCAAATGGAGTATATAGAAGTACTTTAAAAACTGTAATGCATCAAAGAAATATAAAGTTGTATTATTTCTGTTGTTTGCTTACCCTTGTGACAACAAGGATAACATAAGTTACATCACGTTCCTCTTTTTAAAATATGTTTGTCACTTCCAAAATTCTCAATCCATTCCTTTTTTTTATTTTGACCAGGTTAAGATGTGGGGTATCAACAATAACAACTGGGTAACAAGTTCTACTGAGAAGAGTTAAATGTGTATGTGCTCACATGCTTCATGATGACCTATTAAAATCTGAGTTAGACAGTTTGTAGTTTAATCAGAAATTACCATGAAATGAATAGCTATATACCACTGAAAAAAAATGGCACAAAATTACAAATATTAATATCTATATTTTAAAATAATAATGTTTGGTTTTGCCACTGTTGCTAGGTTACTTTTAAAAAAGTACTGAGAAATGAACAACTTGATACTTACCTTCCCCTAACTATATTTTCCTGAAGGAGTTCTTGAATGATAATCCCTATGTTAGATATGTTCACTTTATTGATAAGACCATTGATTGACTTCTTCAAGGCCTCCCAGCTCATCCTTTGGTATGCTAAGCTGTAAGAAATTTAAAAACAGCTAAATCTAAGGATGTTACACTACCTTCTAAATATACTCATAGATAATACCAAGTAGAAATATAAAAATTAATCCAACAATACTTTTTGAAATTTTTCATTTTTACCATAAATATACAAAGTACATAATTCATTATACTGTGAACACAGAAATCAATGCCTAACTTCCTAAATTTAAAAAAAAACAATAACAACTCTCTATTTATCTGTACATATTCTAAAGTACAACACTGATACTTAAACCTGCCTTACTATGGCAAAACTGATACTTCCTATACTATGCAAATCTTTTCATATGGTAAAATAATGGTGAAGGATGGTAATCTCTTCTTAGGTATCATTACAATTTTCATAAAGAATTCACTTCTTTTTAAAAAATATTTTATTTTTTTCCCCCAATTACATGTAAAAAACAATTTTTAAAATTTTTTTTAAATTTTGAGTTCCAAATTCTATCCTTCTCCCTCACCTCTCCCTCTCCCTGCAATGGTAAGCAATCTGATATAGGCTATGTATGTGCAATTATGTAAAACATTTCCATATTAGTCATTCTGTGCAAGAAGACTCAAACAAAAAAATTTAGTTCTTAGAGCTTAATGTGTAAATATTCTTTTATATTTTATCTCTTCATTCAACAACCCAACATTGTTGTGTAGATAAACTAGATTTTTTTTTCAACAATAAAGGCAAAAAACTATTTTGCTAATTACAAGATAAAATTAAAAGTGAAACTTATGGTATATATCTTATTTACAACGAGGAAGCACTGAGGGAACATAAGCACATCATGTAAACAAAGCAGAAATAAAATGAGGCCAGTAAGAGGGTTTAAGAGATAGTAAGTTCTCCCTTACTAGAGATCTTCAAGCAAATGCTAGATGACCCCTTTTGTGAGGCATGTTATAGCAGACAATTTTGTATATGTATGGCTTGTACCAGATGGCCTCTGAAAGTGCCTTATAAAATGGACAATCTGCGATTCTGTGATACTTGCATAAATTCATGTCTAAAAGACTAGATGTTATTTAATTTCTTCTTTGCTTTTAGAGAGAATTATACTAACTAGTCCAGAAGGATGAATATCTTATCTATTAAAAAAAATTAATTGCTACTTGATCTTAAGCAAATCACTTAATGTCCTCTAAAATTGAGAGGGCTATGTTCTAACAGCTTATGACTATATACAAAGACTGATTTCATTTCCTTCCATGTGTTCTATGGTTTAACAAACGTGTCAATAAGATCTTTGCTGAGCGTAATTTGAATCTCTTTCCTGATTTACTAGAATGAAATATTAAAAGCTTATTAAGAAGCCTAAATTTCATCTGTTTGATTATTAAATAAACTGCCTACAATAATAGCAATAATAGTAATAAATAACTAGCATTTACAAAGTACTTAGAGGTATACAGAGCACTTTATATGTTATCTCATTCAATCTTCACAACAACCCTATGAGGTTGTGAGGTTGGAGCTATTATTTATCCCCATTTTACTGAGGAGAATGAGGCTGAAAGTCAAGTGACTTGCCCAAGCTAATTAAATGTCTGAAGTAGAATTTGAACACAATTCTTCCTGACTCCAAGTTCAGTGCTCTATCCACTGTGTCAACCTTCTGCCTCTATTCTGTTTAAAAAGAGGCTTTCAGTTGCTGAAAAGTATTGCTAGAGTAGTTGAAATTCTGAATAAAAATGATAAGGAAACTGACAGCTCCTGGAAAGTAGAAAAAATGAAGGCAAGCAAAGACCAATTACATCTTCTGGGGAACTCCATTTGAACTGGTTGCCCTCAACAATGTTCTAATTTCATAATAGTCTGGTTTTATGATTCCATGAAAGGATGTAGAAAATGGGAGATAAGCAAGATATGAACACTATACTGGTGTACATTTAGATACTGCATTGTAACACTGTGAAGTTCACCTTCCAGATGATCCAAAGCAAAAGTCCTTCCTGCACAAATACAGGATCTCTGCTAATTGCCAGCCATTTGACCTGTTCAACCAAGTGACTTCATTTCTCCACACCCATTTCCTCATTTATGAAATATGGGCACTGGACTAGATGGCCTCTAAGGCCCCTTATTCCAAATTATCTTTTGTGACCTTTGTTTATCCAGGCTGCTTTAATTACTTCCAGGAGTGAAAAGCTTATTACTTTAGTAGATTGCCTGTCCTGGTATTTTATACCTATCAAAAAGTTCTTCCTGGGGAGCAGTTAGGTGGCGAGTGGATAGAGCACTGGCCCTGAAGTCAGGAGTACCTGAGTTCAAATCCGGGCTCAGACCAAACACTTGACACTTGCTAGCTGTGTGACCCTGGGCAAGTCACTTAACCCCAATTGCCTAAAAACAAAACAAAACAAAACAAAAAAACAAATAGTGCTACAAGGAACATTTCTGTTGTTTCTTGATGCCACTGACTTCCCTGTGATATACATATACCTGGCAGTGAAAATAATGAATAGCGGCAGCTAAGTGGTGCAGTAGCTAGAGCTCTGGTCATGGAGTCAGGAAGACCTGAGTTCAAATCCAGTCTCAGACACTTGACACTTACTAGCTATGTGACCCTGGGCAAGTCACTTAACCTTAGGCAAAAAAAAAAAAAAAAAAAGTTCTTCCTTATATTAAGCTCAAATCCACCTCTCTGTAACTTCCACCTTTTTTCTTAGTCCATATGGGTCCACTTCACATGTGGAAAATTTCCTATCTCCCTCTAATCTTATCTTTTTCAGGCTAAACAGTCTCAATTTCTTCATTCATTTTTCACATTAACAGTTTCCAGGCCCCTGACCATTCTGGCAACTCTCTTAAGGAACACTCCAGTTTGTCAAATGTTCCTTTTAAACTGTGACTGACACCTAGAATTAATCTATGAACTAACACTGATACAGTTAATAGTAGCTAATTTCCAGTTCCTCTACAGGTATGTCTAAAGAAATGGAGTAACATGAGAAAATCCATGTTTTAATGGAATTACTTAATGAGAGCAGTCTATTTCAGGAGCAATATTTTGATAACAGGGCATAGACAGACTGTAGGAGAGTAGAGGAGAGATCAGAAGCAGAGAGATAGCAACCTGGTCCTCAAATGACAAAGATCTATGGTAAACTGGTAGCAGGAAAAAGAGATAAAGATGAATTGGACACATTTCAATTAATGCACAGTGTTTTTCACATAATAGGCTCTTGATAAATGCTAAATAGATGTTAAATAATCAATAAAACCTGGTGGTGATGAGGACAAGAAAAATCAAAGCTTGTTCTCGGTCAACATTTCCATTAAGGACTTTATCCTTGCTTAGAGGCACATTATAACTATTTTGTTGAACTGAATGTTTACAAAATCTATGGTTAAAACATAGGACTCCAAGGGATAACTAATACGAGAAATAAAAGAATCTTAATTCAAAATGGTCATAGGCTAGAATGCCAAGTCCAAACTAACAAAACATCATTTAATAGGGACAAAAAAGGAGATTCCTGTAAGTAAACAAAATAAATAAGTAATAAATAGCAGGTCTGGTAGATGGTAAAGGAAAAGAGGACAGATATGGAGGACAGCAACTGGGATAAAAAATGTATTCATGACTGCTCTATTTTAGTAGCAAAAAAAAGCTGGAAATACTCTATATTCCCCAAAACTGGGGAATGGCTGAATAAATTATGGCATATTAATAAAATGGAATATTATGTTGCCATAAAAATTACAAATATGAAGCATACAAGAAAATGTGTAAAGATATGTTTAAGGTAATACAGAGTGAAACCACTAGAATCAGAATTGTAAACACACTGACTGAAACTATATGGAAGAAAGAAAGATAGAAGAAAAACTTGAGCCCAGATGGCAGAATTTTGGACAGGCCTTGATGAAAATAAACAAAAGCCTCTTATTTGCTAGGCTTTGTTTGTAAATTCTTTTGATTCTATGGGTTAAAGAAGGGTTTTTTTAACTTCACAGTTCTACAAGTTGTGGTATATGAATGTAATGGAATACTGTTGTGCTATTAGAAATGATGAAGAGACAGACTTTGGAAAAACCTGAAAGACTTAAAGGAACTGATGCTGGGTGAAGTAAGCAAAACCAGGAGAACATTGTACATAGTTACAACCACAACGTGCTATGACTAACTTTGACACACTCATCTCCTCTCAGGAATGCAAGGACCCAAGACAACTCCAAATGACTCATGATGGAAAATGATGTCTCATCCAGAGAAAGAACTATGGAGTCTGAATGCTGATGCAAGCATAATTTGCTCTCCTTTTCCTTTGTTGTTTTGTTTTATTGCTGTTCTTTTGTATGTACATTTGTCTGCTTGCCTTTGTTGATTAGTCAGCTTGAAATGAAAAAGAACTTTCTAAAAATCAAAGCTGTCTAACAAAGGTCTTACAGCAGCAAAGTAGCAGCAACCTCTCTCCCCATCACTCTAGCAGAGTCTAAGTCTACCAGGTCTGTTGCAAAGGGAACTCTCCTGTGCTACCAAGCAGAAGCCTGGACTGAATAACCTCTAAAGTCCCTTCTAATTCTGCTTCTGGTTCATCTAGCCATCTCAATGTGTGAGTGAGCTATGTGTGTGATTCTATTCCAGTGACCCAACTTGTACCTTCTCTGACAAGATGTGATAGGAAGATGAGATAGGACAAGATCTACAAATGTGATGTTTTACTATAAAATCAGATTGCCATTGGGTTGGAATATTTTCCCTTTCAACACTAAAAACAAATCTACAATTCTAATTAGAATGCAGAATGCACAGGCTCACCCTTACACAGGTTGCCTTCAAAATTCAGATATTTTTCCTAAAAGTTCACAACCACTTGTAGTAGGTATGGATATAGCAACTAAATACATACCAAAGAATGACTGGATAATAAAGGTACAAAAAGTACAAGTCATATAATCATTGTTCAAATTGTCTGTTACTTTCTTATCAAGAGAAGGGGAGTGATGGGATGGGTCAATGTCAGTCTTCTAATGGAGCAAAGGAAAATTCTCTAAAGACTATCACCACTTCTTCCCAAAAACTCTTTTGTACCTATATGATCTCTACAAATAGGGTCAACTCTCATGTACCAAGTATTAGATTTTTTTACCCTTCTCAGTAAGAATCTCATTATCTAACTGGACATCTAGTAATGATGAAGTACCTGTTTTTATCTGTAATCTGTTCCTGCATCATCCTGAGCTTTGCTGGAGGAATATAAGCACCTCCCGTGCGAGTGAGGAGTGGATCCACGTCGTCCTTCTTCTTCTTTGTCGGGGGCTCATCCTGAGCAGATGAGCTCTGAGTTGTTGCTCTTTCTGTACTTCTTCTGCCTGGTGAAGGAGATTTTCTGCACCTTCTCCGATCAGAATCTCTTTCTCTCTCTCTCTCCCTTCGTTTTTCTCTATCTCTCCCTCTGTTGTGAATGAAGAAAACAATGGAAAGAAATCCAATTCATTCAGTAATTCCAATGTACAAAACACTATTTAAATTGTTAGACAGGGCAAGGCACAAGAAACAATATGATACAGGTGCTATTCTCAAGAAGCTCAGAACCTGGCTGAGGAGACAATCACACAAAAAACAAAGGTTTAGAGAAAAAATACAAGAGATGTCATAATGTGCTGCTGCACATCACCAAGTAAGTAGTAAAAGTGGCTACAAGAGTTTCAAAGGGGCAAGTATTCTTGGGCAGAAACCAGAGAAGAATAGCATTAACAAAAATGAATCAGGGGGCAGAGCCAAGATGGCGGAGGGAAAGCAGTGACTTGCTAGAGCTCTCCCCCAAACCCCTCCAAATACCTACAAAAAATGGCTCTAAACAAATTCTAAAGCAGCAGAACCCACAAAAAAAAGAGTAAAACAAATTTCAAGCCCAAGACAACCTGGATGGCTGATCAAAAAGGTATATTGCGCCAGGCTGGGAGAGGAGCGCAGTTCGGCGTGGGCACGCAGGCCACAGCAACCCTGAAGCAGGCCTCAGAAGACTGAATCACGGGCAGCTGTGGTGGTCTCCAGACTTCTCAACCCACAAACGCCAAAGACAACTTAGAAGGTCAGTGGGAAAAGTCTGTTACTGTGGTGAGAGAAGAAGCTAGATCTCAGCCACCCCAAGGGCAGCGGCTGGCTTCTGAGCTTCCGGCCCACAGACTGAGGGGGAATCGAGTGGCTGATCGGAGGAGGATTGCAAGTATCTCTTTGCCAGGGCTGAGGCAGGAATCTCTTGCTTTGCCCATGCTTGAATCTGGGTCACAGTTCTGAGGGGCGGTCCTGGGGCGAGGAGGAACGTTGGTGCGGTAGAGCTTGTTGTGGCTGTGGAGAGGAAACACCTCGCCCCTTATCATAGCATCTTGGAAGAACTGACACTTTTCAGGTCCCTAGAAGTATCTCTGAAAACAGCTGTACAAACCCCCAAAGCTTGGGACAGTACATTCTCCACATTGGAAACAGACTCTTACCTTAACAAAGAGTTTAAAACTCAAGTAATTGGTTGGGATCATGAGCAAGCAGCGCAAAAAGAGTCAGACTATATTATTTTACTTTGGTGACAAAGAACAAAAATGAATCAGCATGGTCTATTCTTGAGAGAGCAAGAAGATTCATGAGCATGTGTGGAATAAAAGATTTGTGTACAGTGCTTCTTGAACTGTGGGTCATGACCCACAATTTAAGAAGTGCTGAAAGGATCACGAGTGGAAAATGTTTAAGAAGCTCTGTGCAGAACATTAACAGGAGAGAACTTTGTAAAAGTGGGAAGGAACTAGATTATGAGCTCTTCAAAACTAGCCCAGGGAGTTTGGGCCTTGTGCCCAGACTACTGACAAAACCTCCCAGTTGATTTCCTTGCCTCAGTTTCTCCTCCTGTGCTCCAATCCAAACTCCTCACAGCTGCTGAATTCAGCTGCAAAGGTTTAGCTGCAATGCCCCTGCTCAGGAAACTCCAATGGATTTCTATAGGCTTTCTCTATTTGATATTTAAAGCTCTTTGCAATCTAGTTCCAGTCTGTCTTTCCCTGCTCACTGCATGTAACTCCCCTTCACATACTCTACTTGCAGTCAGACAAGCTTACCTGCTGTTCTTTGTACATGACTTTCATCTCTCCTGCCTATTCCTGTGTTCAGACTGTCCCCCATATCTAGGATGGACTCACTCCTCACTTCCATGTTTAACAATCCCTAGTTTCCTGAGGGGCTGAACTCATATGCTACTTTATAAAAAAAGATCAATCCCAATTCCCCTCCTACCCTGGTGCTAGTGTTCTCAAAAGCCTACCCCTTACTCTCCTAACCCAGACACAAAGTATGCTTCTTGAAGGTAAGAACTGTTTCATTTGTGCCTTTCTACCTCCAGAACACAGTTCAGTGCTGGCACATAGTAAGCTAATGAATAATTGTATATGGTAGATTACAGGGTGAGTCTCAAGTATTTTTGGCAGGACAATGGTGTAATGAAGCAGATATTTTTAAAAAAAAATGAACATAGTTTAAAGTATGTGTATGCACTTAAAAAAACCTGTGAAACACTTCTGGAAGCAATCTAAAATATTCGGTTGTCACTTTAAGTTACAATTTAAATTCAACACTTATTAAACATTTACTAGAGGCATAAAAAGACAAAAACAAAACAGCTTCCATCTCAAAGAATTTACATGTTATACAAATAAGTAAATATAAAGCAATTTCAAAAGAAGAAATCATAAACAGTTTTACTGAAAAGGTGATGTATAAACAAAACTTTAAAGGAAGTTAGGATTCTGAAGGCAATATGTAACAGTGGAGAAAGTTGATTTTGGAGTCAGGTACACCTGGATTCAAGAGCTCGATAGCCTAGGGTTCAAAGTCTCTTTCTGAAAACTGGGAGCAAATTTGTTCCTCACCAATTCTATGGCAACTCTCTCTTTTGTTCTAACTTTCGCAGGCTGAAGGAGAAAGCTGCTTAAGAAAAATCTATTTCGTGCTACACTGAATGTCTTAAGTTTACTCCCATCATGGTATCCAGCCTTAAAGAAGCTAATCCTAGATTTCTGTTAAGAAAATTCAAATGTTAATTTCGCCTTTTTTTATAATACTAACCGTGATTCCATGATACTATCATTAGAATGTCCTCTTCCTGAATATTCTTGATCTGACCTGCTGTAATCTCTGTCTCGGGGAGACCGCTCCTGTTCTTCATATCTAAGAAATCCAATAAAAAAAGCAAAAATGACAAAATGACAAGATAAAAAGTAATGTGGTATTAAATACTGATTGCTGAGAATCCTATCAGTTAGCCATATGAACAAATCAGTTTTGAGCATATCCAGAAAACCAGAAGTGGAGCAGTGGATTCAAAACCCTTTATAACCTAGCCACTCCTCCCCTTCCTCCCCACACACACCTACTTTTTCAATTTTCTTTTACCTCACTCTCTGCCACATCTTTGATCTAGTGACACTGGTCTCCTGGTTGTTCTATGAACAAGACACTCCAGCTCTCAGCTCTGGGCATCTTCTCTACCTGTCCCTCATGCATGGAATGCTCTCCCTCCTCATCTTTGACTTCTGGCTTCAAGTTCCAACTAAAATTCCATCTTCTCCAACCCCTCTTAATTCTAAAGTCTTTCCTCTTTTAATTATCTCGTATTTCTCCTGCATTTAGCTTGTTTGTACACATTTATTTGCTCATTATCTCCCGGGTACTTTCTTTGGCCTCCTTTGGTTTCCCTAGCACTTCGCACAACGCCTGGCACAGAGTAGGTTACAATAAATGCTTATTGACTGACTGGCTGTTACTGAAAAATGCTGGCAGCTAAATCTGCAAGGGCTCATCCACTGAGCCGTGAAATAGTTTTTGGCTTATGCCCAGGATCACAGGCTCAAAAATCAGGTGCTAAGAAGGGATCTCAAGAGCCATCTTGCTCTACTCTCTTAGTTTACATATGAGGCAACTGAGGCCCAGCAAGGTTAACTTACTTGCCCAAAGGCCCAAAGTCTTCACAAATCTTAGTGAATCATAATGATCCAAGTTTTTGGTCCTAGTTGAATTTGCCTTTGGTTGGATATGTACAGTTCAATTTTCTCTCTAGGAGGGCACTGTGCTAAAGAGGGTCTACCAACCCTTGTTGATTTATTTTGTATCTAGTTGCCAGCACAATAGTTTAGATGCCAGGTGAATTGTTCAACTTTCAAAGGAAAAAGAAAAAAAAAAGAAAAAAGAAGCAAGTTGCTGTAATGGTCTATTCCCTAATTCTCTTTGCCGCAACTCAACCCAACATAAACAAAATCATGACCTAATTTCAGTGTGGTTATCCAATTTATTAACTTAAGTAATTCATATATTGTATCATGAAACTGTGTCATACAGTTCTAGAAAAGGTGGATATTTAGGTACTTTCGTCAGCTTTGATGTTATAATGACAGTTGTAGATTACTCAATAGAGAAAAGAGTAACTTTTCTACACTTAATTTCTTTTCACTAGCATTTCATAATGAGAAAAATTTCAAATATTTAGTTGACATATTAAAATGTTTAGTTGAGACATGTAAATATTACCATTTACCTAACAATTACAAACTATAGTTACATATAAAATCAATCAATAAACATTTATTAAGCACCTACCATGTGCCAGACACTATGTTAAGTGCCAGGGACACAAAAAAAGAAGCAAAAAAAATAGCCCTGTATTCAAGGAGCTTACAACCTAATGAGGGAGACAACAGGCAAACTAATATATACAAAGCAAACAATATGTAGGATAAATAGGAAATAATTAACAGATGGAAGGCAGTGGAATTAAGAGGGATTAGAAAGGCTTCATATAGAAGGTAGAATTTTAGTTGGGAGTTAAAGGATGCCAGGGAGGTCAATAGTTGGAGCACAAGATGGAGAGTATTCCAGGAAGGAGGGACAGTCAGTTCATAAGGCCAGTACATCTTAAGAATCCCCTTACATCTTAAGGGTTTAGTTACAGAAATACCTGAGGACTTTTTGGAAGTCAGTTTCACATCTCAGTTGGTCAGAGACCAGACCTGCAGATAATATACTGTGAAACTGCAGTCTATTTCTAACATTTCTGGATGACAGAATCTTAACTGCGTCTGGAACATAAAGTTTATACCTATCTTCTGGAGAAGAACTCCTCTGAGAAAGCTCTCTTCTTTCACGACCAGAATTATGCTTTAAGGAGAAAAAGGAAAAACAAAAATAAAACACGTAAGAATTGTTTCAAGAAACATTTGTAGCCAAATAGACCTGAATAAATGTTACCTACAAGTTATTTTTATTTAAATTTATTTTTTTATTTATTTAATTTAAATTTATCTATTCATTTAAAAGTATGTTTGTTAAATAAATCCTAGGCAATGAAATATGTTTGGGTAAAAGGAATATTTTAGAAACACTTTGGTTGCTTATATGCCATTTTTAACTTAGGCCAGTTTTTTTTTCACATTATTTACAACACAAGGCTTTGAGCTCAAAGTCTGCACTGAAATGAAGACATTCAAAGCTGAACTCTGACAAGTCCAAGAGCTACTTTTGCTGATGTCTGCTATCCATTCATTACAGCATTTCTGTTCTCTCATTGAAAAGTAATCCCAATTCACTAAAACCCAAAGTAAACATTAGAAAAATTATGGGCCAGAACAAATGTGGGACAGCCTTTTAATCTGAAAACAGAAGCTATATATGCAGAGCTGTGCGAACATGGATAAAAAGTAACAGAATCAGCTATATTTAAATACTGCTAGCTGGAAAACTGAGGATCTCCTAACACAGACAAGTACAACTATGCCAACAAAATGGTTCACAATTATATAACATATCAAATATATTCATAGCTTTAGCCTGTCTACTTTTGCAATTTTCCTGATAAAAAGCAAGAAACAATGAGGTACACTGACTCTCTTAGCAACTTGACTCTCCTAGCAACTTCCCAACAAGGGATTATTCTGAGAACATTTGCAGACATCGAACTAGAGATAACTGTCCTTTTTGGTTTATTAGACCTACAACTTTAATGCAGATATTTTAGCTTTTTAAAAAAATTCTGATGGAAGTAGGAACTTTATTTTCTGTAAAACAGTTAAAAGGAAAATTTAAAGACCCTGTATGAACTAAATGTTCTAGTGCCATATAGTATTAAGCCAAACTCTTTAATCATGTACCTGGAGGAAAAAAGGTTTACTACACAATTGGCTTTTATACTTATCTACACTTATTTTATGGTATATAAATGTACTTGGAAAAAGTTTTTTAATTGATTATGGTTAAATACATGATATCTTCTTTTCTAATTTTATATTTTCTGGTGAATAGCAGGAACAAATCAATAAATTTACTGTTACAGTCTTACACATAGCATTAAAAAAAATATAATAATACCAACCATATCTTTGCATAGTAAACATATAGGTACACATATGCAGACAAATTATTGTACATATCTATTTAGACAAAATCTGCAACTTAAGACGCATAATTATGTATTTTTTTACTGCACTTCAAATTTTAAGCATAGTTTACAAGCCAACGTTAATGTATAAAACATATTTATAAATAGTCACATTCAGCCAGCCTAACACATTAGCCCATATTTGTAATAAGCATAATCACACAACTGAACACCATATATGACAGACTTGTAAAAAATTCAATAAGATCTAACATGGTTCTAATAAGACTGGTTAAGTCACACTAATGACCAAGATAATGGGGTATAAGAGTTCTTTATGCCACCAGTATACTGGTTTACTAATACTTACTATGTATAAATTCAATTCAGACAAGTATTTACTGAGTACCTAATATGTGACAGGCAATGGGAAAACAAAGACGAAACCAATGTAGTCCTTTCCCCTATGGAGCTTACTGGGTATATGAGGGACATAAAGAGCCTAGTCCCAACCAATCAATGAGCATTTATTAAGAGCCTACTAACTGCCAGGCCCTATGCAAGGCTCAGAGATACAAAGATAAAAAAAATGACACAATCTCCACCATCAGGAAGCTCAAAATTTATTTGGGGGATATTTTGCCCACAAATGGGTGAGAAGAGCATAATGAGACAAATAAGGGGTCCAAACAAAGTATCCTAGGGACATCTAATTGAGGAGCAATTACTTTTAGCCATGGGGATTAGCAAGAGCAGTTAAGTTGAATGAACATGAGTTTTCACTATCTCTCAAACTCACTAAGACATAATATGTTCATAGCTTCCATATATACTTGAGAATGAACAAATGAGTATTTGCTTCAGAACTGCCCAATTTCCTCTCAAGATCTCTTTTTCAAGACTTGTCAGATTTTTATTTCAGCAGATTCAAATGAGTACTTTTTGGTCTTTTCACACCTTTTAAACTTCAAGATTTGAGAAACCATGAATTGGGAGAACTTCTCATATATGATATCATAGATTTAGGGCCAGAGGAGCCCTCAGGGTCCATCTAGTCCAACTGTCTCATTTTATCTGTGAGGAAACTGAAGCCCAAGGAGGCCAGGTGACCTGTCTATGTAAAACAGCAGCAACAAAGGGGATAATAATCTGGACTGTTGAGAGCCAGCTGCTCCTTGCAAGGTACAGACATTAAGAGAATGTGTCAGACAGAGAGGTACATTTTTACCAAGCCTTCAAATATTGTTAGGGTTTCTCTAAGATAAAAGATTGTTCTTGTGTTTTCCCACTACAAATATTCCAAAAGTCAACTCTTTTCCTAATTCCTGATGAACAACTATGGTACCAACAAATGCTTACTTTATCCAATCCCATTTTTAAATGGTGCTTTTCTCTTTAGCTTGCGTAATGAAACCCTAAAAATACTTACTTTTATATGGGCCACACTACTTTTCATTTTCTGTTGTTTACTTCTGTCTGTAGTAGTCAGTAGCAATACACTAACTGCTCCAAATTGGCATAAAGAATTCAATAGTATGAATTTCTTGGTAGTCAGTTTTTCCCTGCTGACTAGAGAAATTTCATCTATAAAACACACAAAAAAATCAAAAGTTCACTTTTGTTAACAAGAGTGAAAAATGTGTTTTAAATAGCATATGATGTATTAATTCAACATAGCAGAGACATGGCACTTTGTCACAAGATAATAAAAAAGATAACCTCAAATGTCCAATTTATACAACAATAAAATGAAAAAGAAATTCCTCGTGGGGAATAGATGAATAAATGTTAAATGACAAAGATAAAAGTCATAGAAAGGATGATAAGTTTTCATTTTTTGTTCCTTCCAGAGTAGCATGAGAAACAAAGAAATGGTGGGATATGAGGCAGAAACTACAGGGGCAGAATAGTGACTGCAAGAGTGGTCAAGTAAGTGGCAGCAGTGGGCAGAAAGAATTCTGGGGAGACACTAGGTCTAGTGGCAATTGTTCATCAAAGTCTAAAGAAGACGAACAATAAGGATTTACTTTAACATTAAAATTTCTTCATCTGATGATTTAGAAAAAATATTTGCCAGTTAACTTTACTGTTTTAAATTTCTTACTAAAACTCAAACGGATATTAAGAGTTGTAACATCATTGCAAACCTCATCACTTGAGAGTGAATTGAGGACTCAACTGTTTGTAAGAATTCCATTAAAAAAAAAATAAGGACAAAATACTCAAACTTCTCCATTTTCATTTAGAATAGTGACGGCTTGTTGAAATAAGTGTATCCCATTTAACTGCAGAGGAACTGCAGTGTGGTTCAGTTGAAGGAATACAGGACTACAGATTAGAGGAACCAATTGACTCTCCTACCCCCTTCCTCCGTGACCTGGGCAGGCATTTAATTTCACAGAGCTTCTATTTCTTCATCTGTGAAATGGGAGAGTTAAATGGTAGGACCTTCAAATCCTGTCTGACATTTACTATGTGACTGTGGGAAAGTCACTTAATCTCTCTCAGTCTCAGTTTCAATTCCAGGATCAAATATAAAATCCATCAGTGTTTAAATATTTTATGAGTATATCATATGGCATATTATCTTTAGCTATTGCTAAAAATGTTTAAAAATTTGTAAACTTCAATTTAATAGATTTTGAGATATTATCATTTAGTTTTGAGTTTCAAAGAATCTGAACTTATTTCTCTAACATGCATATATTCTAAGCCATATGCACTTTGTAACACAGTGACATTTGCCTCCAAGCTGTTCCTCAACAAGACTCTCCATCTCCCAACTCAGGGCATTTTCCCTGGCCACCCCTCAAGTCTGCTGTGTTCTCCCTCCTCATCTCCACTTCCCAGCTTCCCTAGCTGCCTTAAGTGCCAGCTAAAATCCCACCTACTACCAGAAGGCTCTCCTGATCCCCCTTCATTTTAGTGTCTTCCCTCTGTTGATTATTTCCAGCTTATCCTGTATATAACTTGTTTGTATTACACCCGTTTTCCTGTTGTCCCCCCATTAGACTGCATACTCCTAGAGAGCAGGGACTCTCCCTTACCTTTCTTTACAACTCTAGCACTTATTAGCATAGTGCCCAGCACACAATAGGCACTTAATAAATGTTTACTGACCGACTAAATGGGAATAATAGCACCTATCTCACAAGTGTTGTACACATTAAATGAAAAATACATGTAAAGAGAGCTATGCAAACCTCAAAGTTCTATGTGTTAGCTATTATAATTATTACCCTATGCTCCTGTGATCTTCAATAACACACAGCTAAGAATATATGCATATTAAAGAAATAAGTTTAGATTCTTTGAAACTCAATTGTCAAAGCTAAGTAATAAATTATGCCAAAATCTATCCATTAAAGTGAAGTTTACAAATTTTGAACATTTTTAGCAAAAGCTACAGATAATATGCCATAAAAATACTAAATTAAACAACACATAAAAATTACATCCAGAAACTCAGGTTACCATGTAACCACTTACTTAATATTTAGAGGTGTTTGCTCCCAAATGAAGAAAATAAAATGGTTAGGAGAAAATTATCAAGTGTTTTCTACGTTTTTAATGGTAGTAAGTGGTCCTAATTTAGAAGATATATAAAAGACTTGCTAAATGTTACTATTATTGTCAGATAATTAAATATTATACCTGCACTGGTATAGTTAAAGTGACCAGCTTGCAGAACTTTCTATAAAAGGCTCATGTGCAGATTGATTCTTTGATCAGTTGCTGGAGTAAGCTTTTACTTGAAAAGAGTCTTCTGTCCTTAACTACTAACATCATGACTTGTCTATAGGCAGCAGCTACTTCCCGGTTGTCCAGAGCCATACTACAATGTTTGAAACTAAGTTTCAGGTGATCTTTGAAACATTTTTCCTATTATCTTTCTTACCATCGACAAACTTTAGATAATACCAAGCCCTGAAGAGCTACATCTAAATCAAGAATCCTTAACCTGGAGCCTGTAAATCTGTTTAAAAAAAAATTATATGTGAGAGACAGAGAGAGAGAAAGCTAGTGTGTGTGTGCATACACATATATATGACTGTATTTCAACATTATTTTTATTTGTAGTCCCATTTTATTTCATGCATTTAAAAAATTGTGAGAAGAGGTCCACAGGCTTCACAATACTGCCAAAGTGGTCCATGACAAAAAAAGGCTATGAACCCTTGTTCCAGATGTTTTTTAAAATCTAAACCTACTATAGGCATCACACCTGGGCTCTACTGAACCTCAAACCAAAAGACAGGATCAACAACAATGAGGTCCCAGATGAGAACCAGAATATTAATTTCAAGGACTATCACTATGACAAAATTGCCAAGGGAGGTCAAGTTGCTAGATAACAGTACAATAATAATTATGGCTAAAATTTATATAACTTTTACTATGTGCTCAGTACCATAGTAAGGGTTTTACAATTATCTCATTTGATGCTCACATGAACCTAAGAAATAGGTATTATTATTATTATTTCCATTTTACATATGAGGAAACTGAGGCAAACAGGTTAAGTGATTTGTCTAGGGTCACAAGAGCTATTGAGTGTCCGAGGCCAGATCTGAAGTTTTGCCTTCCTGACTTTCCAGGCCCCTCACTCTATCCACTAAAGCTAGCTAGCTGTCCTAGTACAGCTAAAATTCTTCTGTATATTGATCATTTTATGATTCACAAAGTAATCCCTCCAGTGAAATTATTAGCCAACCTTTTATTAGAACATTCCAACACATAAGTTTGGTTATTTAGAAAGGCTTCTTCAGGTAAACACAAGAAACATTTTTAAAGGGAAAATATGGTCACTATCACTAAAGACATTAGCATGTTTTGAGTAGAAAATTCAATTACAGTTGCTACATTGTAAGATTTTCATGAAAAATAAAATAAAAAGGGAAAAGGAAGAAAGATTCTATTCAATTTCTTCCTGGGGTCTGCTGTTTTTGGTAGGCCAAACAACTTTTAACCACCTTAAATTTCTTCAAGTCAGGAGTGGTACTTACATATTATTTACAAATATAAATATAAATAGCACCTATTTAAAGGTGCATGCATGGCCTATAAGGGACAAGGACAACCTTTTGAAAGGCTAGATCACCTCCAGTTTTGAAAAAATTCTTCCATTTATGTATTAGTATGAAGAAAAAAGACTGTCTTAAGTGTGTGGCTAGTTTGGATAGATTACAAACTGCTCAAAAGCAGTCTATTTTATACCATTAAATTTTTTTAGAAAATGTTTAAAATGGTAATAATGTGGATAAAGCAAATTTATGAGAAAAAAGGAGGCAAAATTAGGGCAATAAATCAGTATTATTAGTTTTAAATCCAATAAATATTATACAAAGATAATCCTAGATAAAAATTATCATTTGATATATACAGAACTGTGACAAATTTATAAAAATAAGGGTCATTCTCCAACTTATAAATGGTCAAAAGATGTGAACAGGCAGTTTTTGGAGGAAGAAATCAAAGCTATCAATAGTCATATAAAAATGCTCTAAATTGCTGCTGATTAGAGGAACACAAATTAAAACAACTCTGAGGTCTCACCTCATATCTATCAGATTGGCTAACACGACAGAAAAGGAAAATGACAAATGCTGGAGGGGATGTGGAAAAAGGAACACTAACGTACTGATGGTGGAATTGTAAACTAGTCCAACCATTTTGGAGAACAATTTAGAACAATGCCCAAAAGGTTATAAAATTGTGCATACCCTTTGAACCTGCAATATCACTATATCCCAAATATCAATACCACTGTATCCCAAACAGATCAAAGAAAAGACAAAAGGCTTATAAGGACAAAAATATTATAGCAGTTCCTTTTATAGTGGCAAAGAACTGGAAACACCCATCAACTGAGGAATGTCTGAACAAGTGGTATATGATTGTGATGGAACACTATTGTGCTCTAAGAAATGAAGGGGGGAGAGGAGTGGTTTCAGAAAAACCTGGAAAGACTTACATGAACTCACGCAAAGTGAAGTAAGCAGAACCAAGAGAACATTGTATATAATAACAGCAACATTGTAAGAATGATCAGCTGTGAAAGATTTAGCTACTCTGATCAAGAAAACAATTCAAGACAATCCCAAATTCCCCATTATGAAAAATGCTATCCACCTCCACCTCCATAGAGAGAACTGATGAACTTTGAGTGCAGATTAAAGCATACCTTTTTCACTTTCTTTAGCTTTCTTGCCCCCCCCCTTTTTGGGCACCAAGGCTTATGTAGAAATATGTTTTTCATGACTTAACATGTATAATTGATATAATATTGCCTACCTTCTCAATGGATGGGGAGGGTGGGAGGGAAGGAGAAAATTTGGAACTCAAAATTTTAAAAAATGAATGTCAAGAAAAAATAAAAATAAAGTAAAAAAATAAAATTGGCAAGAGTGAAAAAAATTATCATTTGAGATTTCGTAGACTAGATGACCTCTTAATGCATTCTTTAAAATTCTAGGACAAAATGCAGTATTTTCCACACTAATTGTAATATTAAAATTAAAAAAACAATTTTAATTGTTACCTTGTTCCAGAAATTTTCCAACTAAGACAAATGCAATGCTACA